TCCTCGAGAGCCTGACGAAGCTGATCTTCGGTATATTGAGGCATTATATATAGAAGAAGACATGTGCAAAAGATGAGCCCATTTGGACGCGAATTGAAAATGTTGTGATAAAAGGAGGTTGGGGGTGGGCATTGGGTTGTGGTGGATTTTCGCGTTTTTGTGGGTGCCAGAAACAGGGGGGTGCCAGGAAGTGGGTATGTTGACTTACTATAACCATGTGTCACGAACCATGAACCTCCCTTCGAAGGAATTGGATGAATTCTATCGGTATTTCAGGATATCCGGCATGGCGCACTGTCGCGATGGCACTGGTGCTAGCATGATCGGCGGTAACCCTGAGACTTTCACCTCCTACGACCCAGATGCCAATGTACTGGCGGCGATTGTGCGCTGGGTTGAGGAGGGTGTTGCACCTGATTTCATTCTTGGTAGCCGCTTGACGGCCTCCGGGGAGGTCGATCTGCAGAGGAAGCATTGTAAATATCCTACAAGGAACGTGTTCAAGGGACAAGAAGATCCCGCGAAGCCGGATGGGTGGGAATGCGTTTAGTGTCTAATGCGAAGCACGTGTATTTGAGATATCTATGCTATCACAATTGCCGACCATGGATCACTGACTCACGCCTCTGATCGACTTGATCTTGACTTTCATTGGCTTCAACAGCCTCGTTACACCATTGTCTACCCACTTAAGGGTGCTCTCGTTCGTCTCAAATAGCTCCATCTCAAAGCGGCCAAAAAGGTTTGCAAAGCACACGTAGAGTTCGAGATATGCAATGCTGTATACGTTAGACCGGTGTTTCCCCTCGTAAGGTCGAGAGAATGTGAACTTACTTCACGCCTATACAAGCTCGGGGGCCTTTGCTAAAAGGCACAAAGTACTTCTCCAGGTCCCAGCCGGCTTTGCCAAGCCACCTTTCAGGAATGAATCTCTCAGGCTCCGAATAGACGTCCGAGTTGACGTTTATCAGCCGAAGAGCCTGTGAAACGGTGGTCTTGAAGAAGCGCAGAGTCAGTGATTTTGCACACCGCGTAGCTAGTCTGGTCTGTGACTTACGCCTTCCGGAAGATAATGTCCTCCGACGGAAGCGCCGCCGGCAGGGACTCTGCGGGGAATGATACCAGGCACTGGGGATCCCAGCCGAAGTATCTCTTTGATGACTGCAGTCTGGAAACATGGATAATAAGTATGCTGCGTTGAATTTTCCTTCCAAATCAACTTCGACTCACAAGATAAGGCAGTTTGGAAACAGTATGATACTCATAGAGGCCATCCATATTCGTAGGCGCGTCTTTCAACTCGTCCAACATCTTCTGAAGCTTATCCGGGTTCCTGAGCAAGAAGTATGTGCCAAAGCTAAGGGCAATGCTATTGGTATCAGTTCCACCAAAACACACAGACAGTGCTTCGTCAACGAGTGCCTCTTGGCCGAGCTTGTGGAGCCTCTTTGTTTTCTCTGCTTCCAGAAGGAGATCGAAATATGTCTTGCGACCATCAGCTATTCTTTGGCCGTTGCGCTGTTTCTCTTCGTCTTCCTTAATCCATGTGGCGCATTGCTATTTGAATGTCAGCAGGAGATATTGAAATTAACGGTAAGAAGAATTGTAATGATTGTACTCACCTCTCGAAAAGCGACGTAGCTTGGCAAAACCGTCCTTGCTACACTGAGAGGTAAACTCATAGCAATGTGGCTGATCAAGGGAAAGTGCTTAGTGAGGAAGAACTTGTCAACAAACTTGCCCAACAAGCTCAAAAACGGTGGCTCGTCTTCGTCGGAATCAACAAAATTCAACTGTCTATCAAACAAGACAGGCATAATAGTGTCAACCTAGAGACTGTTCAGCACTTAAGATCACAGTCTCAGTAGACCGCAGAAAACGCCCTGAAGCTCGATGTTGCGATCATGTAGCTGGACTGAGGTATAACCTACCGTAATGCATTGATAAAATGGTTGCAAGTTAATCGGCTGGTCATTCTTGAGGGCACGCTGCGCCTTTGCCATTGCTCTCTGCACAACATCCAGAACGACAGGCGCCAAGTGTTCAACATGTTTGGTCGAGAAAAGGGATTGGACTGTATTCTTTCGTTCTTTGTGAACCTCGGGATCAATCAACATGATGATGGAGTGCTTGATACCACCAGCGCTCTGGAAGAAGTCGGGATCCTTGATATATTTTGTGCCACTTCCGTAAGCCCTGATAAACTGAGTAAGCAGAGTCTCCCTCAAAGACGTCATACTATAAACAGAGCTTAACTCACTCTTTGAAGTAATCTGGATCACTAACGTGCACGCGACTGGGAGACACCCGAACCACTGGGCCTGAATAGTGCATCACTGATCAGTATGCAAACGACACAGCCAGGAACGCCTGCGTAGATCTCGGAGATTTGCTCACCATACTTGGCGTGAAGATCAGGGTACTCCTTGATGTAGTTGCCATTGAGAATCACATCTTGGTAAAATTCGTACCAGTACGTTGCGGCCGCATACCAAGGACCAGGTATCTTCTTAAGAGGGTGGAAGAAGATTCTGTAGAGAACACCAACTATAAGGTACACAGAAAAGCACAGGGCAAGAATTCTTGGCGAGAAAAGAACCTCGCGCAGTTGAAATAGAGCCATTGTAGCAATTGAGGAAACGTAGATGGCTCAACTAGGTTGGTCCTTGAAGACTCCTCTCGAGCACGATCCAGATGATGGCGCGAGACTTGTTTCTTATGTTCAGGGATATCTCGAAGTTTCCTTATCTTCTGATGGATCTTGAGGGCAAAGCCCTATTATCGCCCTTGATTCTGGTGAGTTCTGGGTAAGACAGACTTGAGATGTTGTTTCTGCCACCATGTATCAGTTTGACGGTGCTGAGCTTCTGGATCGCCTAGTCTGTAGATGTCCAACAAAGAAATGTAAGGAAAATCACCATTGTTTGCTGCCAGATCTAAGCGCCCCCTGTCGCGCGGAGGCGGTCACGCGGCGTACCAGGCCAAGCAATGTTTGTCAACTCAGCGAACTCCATCTGGTACGGGTCATGTACCCAGCGATCATTGGAAAGCCCACCCAATCCCCGCAGGGCGAAGCCTTCTTTCGAGACGATTCAACCGCTCTTCAACACACATCTATCAAGGCATCCGGAGGGATGGCAACGTGTAGGAGAATGATTGGGTGCGTGTCACATTTAGCAAGCAAACAATACGCCCAATCTGATGTGGGCCGATTATCCGCAATATCCAGTACCCAGTCAGAAAGTTCGGGGAATCACTCTAATCAGTATCAACTAGTTGAACACCCATGTAAACCTACTTCAGCTGACGCCACAAAGCAAACACCTGTGGAGTTTTCTGCCTGTGGCGTTTGACTTTTCCTCGAAGATGATCGCTTTTCCCAGCGCGGAAGAAGGCCGATAAAGCCCCTGTCTACTACTGTCTTGACTGATAAGCGGGTCATGACAAGTTGAACCAACACCAAGTTGATGGATTCAACCCCTGGTACCTGGGAATTGAACAGGGGTTCAAGTTGAAGAATCATAACTCCGGTGACTTACAGACTCGTTGGACAGGCCGGTCGTTGAACGTCTGCAAGCGATGATGCGATAATATGGGGACTTTGCGAGCATCGGCAAGGGCCAGAAGACGAGATTTGATGTAATGTATATTCCACTTAGCATTTAATGATAATCCATATGTGCTGGCATGGAAATCTAAACTTCTTTGGGCAACGATTCTTTGAATTAGAAGCAGGGCCAGACATCATTTCGTGCTCCAAAGGCTATAATCCTTGAAAGGCGTTGATAGGGATACTTGACTTCCGTAAGAACTCATACTATGTATGGAACTACGGGCTATCTTTTCTTCTGGAACATCCATCAGTTCTCTTGCCGGCGGGATAGAGCCACCTTGGATAATTAGCTCACAGTAGAATGTTTCGTCAGCTTGTACACAACGCTCGTTTAAACAGACATGTGAAGCATGGACCGCTCCAACGTGAGGATTTTCTGAAGCTAACGAAGTACACGTATTCAATGATGTCAAGCTTTCATTCGCGGACTCTAATCGGCATTACTTGCTCTTCTACGAGAAAGCCCAGTTTCTAGGTCAAGTGTTCCTCGATTTCTCACTGGATCGCGACATTGAACAAGTCGAGACTTCCTTTTTGTGTAAATTAAAACAGTATAGAAATGATTCCAGGAAGAGACAATTGTGCAGAAGCTGAGACATGTTTGCTCAACTAGAAGCTGATCTTACTCACAACAACTTGACACGTCCGAGACAGTCGAATCTCACGAGAGGTTTCCCACGACGGAGTTGCCGATAAGGACGGAGAAGATGACGAATCCTTTCTTAACAGAAACAAAAATTCTTGTCTAGCCGGGCTGAAGTCTTGCGGCACAGTTGCAAGTCTCTTTTGGTGTGGTGGATGCTGGACTGTGGAGGCAACAGGAACCAGGGTAGACGACCCTCGTAGAACCGGGCAGCGATACGGCACGACAAGTCTTGAAGACCCATAGCCAAATCGTCACGATGCGAAAGGTCGGAGGATGGTGGCGGGAATTTTCGACTGTCGCTTGAACTGATGAACCAACCGGGCGAAGAGTGTGGATATCTTTGGTTGAACTGAAAAGCAGCGTGTTCCGTCCTTCATCGGTGTCCATTTCACTCCATCTTCAGTCCTTCAAGCCTCCTTCAAACCTGATTACAAGAATCACTCCTAAGCCTTTCTTATTGAAGCTAGAATGATCTCTCCAGAGTCTTCCCTTTTCGGAAGCCCGCAAATGGGCGTTGGAATCGGCTTTGACGGCGTACCCAACATGTCTGAAAAGAGTCAAGTGGATCCATTTCACTTCGACGTTGAAGACGATGGAGAGTCGACGATGTCGCCAGGCTCCCCAGTCTCTTCCTATTCGACTTTCACAGACTCGCTTTCTTCATCTCAGGCTTTCACTGTCTCTTCGGAAGCGGGAAGCACGTGGGACATACGATCGCATATTGGCATCAACTCCGACGAGGTTAATGCCAACTATGTCCGTGTTCCAGACTTTTTCTCTTCGATCATGTCTGTGAAGCCCGTCATCAACGTCAATTACGATAAAGTAAAGAGAGAGGCGGATAGTTGGATTGCCACGTTAGTAAAAATTTTGAAGAGAACCATTTCCGGAGTAACACTAACATGGAATGGTCACAGGATCCTTAGTCTCAGTGAAGCTCAAGCCCGAAGAAACGTTCAAGCTAACTTCGCGTTCATGAATGCGATGTGGGTCCCATACGCTGATGAAGACGCATATCGAACGATGATCGATTGGAACAATTGGGTACGTCACCCTCCAATCAGTGATCATTTTGTTGGCTAAAATTGAGCTAATGTAATTGCAAGGTCTTTGCATTTGATGACCGTGAGTAAACCATGACAAAAATTACTTCGTCTGAGCCCGCTGACTCTTGACAGAGTTTGATGAAGGCCATCTGAAAGACGACCCTATTAAGGCAGTAGAGGAGCTGCATGCCACTTTTGCGGTGCTAGAAGACAACCAAGCCCCAGTCCAGCTTCATGACAACCCA